AGGTATTTGTCTATAATGCTGCATTAAAAAAGAAATTAGATTTGAAACTTTATAACACACATTTTTAATTAGAATAAAACCGCCCCATTTATTTTTATAAAAAAGTTCTAAAAACCGGCATTTTGTTTTTAATAACAGCCCAATTCTGTGCACTTGATAAATTGAAAATCTTTATAATTTGTAAATTTTTTATTATTTATCAAGAATTGGTATTCTAGCACAGAAATCAAAAGCTCTTTTCTTGATAAATTATCAAGATTGAAAATGCTATTGACAAATTGAAATTTCATGTGAATTGTATAAGTTTTGTATCTTAATAAATTTGTTTCTAACAATTAAATACTCCATGTGCCGGCATTTGAACCTACGACACACGGAATTATAGTCGACATCTCTACCTACTCGGCTACGGCAGTCAAAAGCTTTTTCGCTTTTAATTTCATACTTTTCATATGTGACAATGAAATCAGTTCCACTCATGTGGAAATCAGTTCCACTAATGTGGAAGTCGTAGAGCTTTTTGTTTTATAAATATTGACACAGAATGCGAAGGAAGCTTCTACTTGATAAAAATCTTGATAAAATTTCTTTACAAAAAAATTATCAAGAAAACACAGAATTGGGCGGTAAGTATTAAGAAGTTTTTTAAACTTAAATTCTTTGGAATAGTTTTTAGTTTATTGTGTGAAAATTTCAAATCGATCTATACCCAAACGTCTGAGATATAGCGTGTTTAAATAATAATTTTGTAAAAATTTTCTATCACAGTATGATGTTTTAATTTGTTCAAACGAACGGAGTCGACGTGACGCGACGGAGCGTGGCGACTGTCATAGCCCTCTATTAAGCGCTTTATAGCTCGAAAAAATCAAAAAAGTCCCTTTTTTATTAATGATTTATATGTAAAAAGACCTGATCTTTCGATTGAGACGACTTAAAACAATATAAAAAATTACTATAATTGAGAAAAATTACAAATAAAATTTGTTGCGAATTTTCACCGTGAAAATGGGAAAATTTTGGAAAACGCATAGCACCATCGGATAGCCCGTACAAAAATCTATATAAATCATGGTTTTTGAATTATTTTTCCCATTTTCGGTCTGCTTTTCAGCTATTCGAAAACAAGCTTGTTTTGCACCGCTCAGCGCGCTTGGGACATTTGACGTGAATCGCCTCATATAATTATTCACATTTCAAAAATTGCATACATTTTAAGATATATAAAAAATCTGCCCTTTTTCCCTACGCACGCATTTTTACAGCCAAAATCCCTACATGTAGGGAACTTTTCACAAAAGTATAAAGCGCAAAAATTTCAGGTGCAAAAATGTCTATTAATTTCCAATTATGTTTCAACTAATTGCACGAATTTTATGGTTTCATCTGTCATTTTCATAAAATGCAGGCTAGGGATGCCCGATATTCGATGATAAGACGTAAAATATCGGTGTTTTGTAATCGATTGCGGACTATGCGGAACATCGGCACAGCGATACCTTGTACACATAATCGAAGCGTCGATGATTCGAGATATGCACAGTTCATATGTAGTTACGATTTTTGTATTTCAGGGGACGATATACCTGAACGTGCTGCCACGTATGTTAAACTATAATTCATAAACGGGCGAAGGTAGTAAAATATTTTTTTTGATTTTAAGGTTTTTAATAAACTTTTTTTAAACAAACTCAAACTGAAAGTCATAACAGAGGAAAAAATGCATGAGAACAAATGTTGTTAACAATTGCGTGAACCCTTCCAACAGAACTGATTACTTCTGATGAGCACGGAAACAAATTCGTATTTGAAAATTATATCGATGTTGTGTAAAATCGATGATTTTCGGTCCATGAAAATCGAGGATCGATGTTGACCCTCCGATGTTATCACCGATGAAAAAATCATCGCTCATCCCTAATGCAGGCACGCACATGGAAGATTGAAAACAAACTTAACCTTCTTCCCCTTTTTAAGCGTACGTCTGGCTAGCTGCCAACACTTCTGTACGATAAGCGATTTTCACCCAGCTTTCTTTGACGAATTTCTGAGCCTGACGACTCGTATGCTGCTCTGTATTTAATTACACGTATGTATCATAAAAGCGTGCAAGTTTCGTATAAAAATTTATTCATCATTCGACAGTGCTTGAATGAAGAATAAAAATTTATTCGTCATTCAAAATTAGAAAAATTACACTGGTCTACAAATTTCAACTTTTTTTCTGCGAATAAGACGGGACCTGGTGTTTCTGAACGGATTTTTCGTGCTGAACACGAATCCGGGGTCAAAAATGTAATTTTTCCTGCACCCCTAAACACAAATACACCCCCTGATCTAAGGGTGCATGCGATTAATTCGGCATAGGGCTCATTCGAAAGGGCACGATTTAGCCTTTAATTTCTGACATATACAAAGTTTGTAGCACGTCAGGGTTCAGCTCTACAATTTTTCAAAAAATGGCCAAAAACGCTGTTTTTAGGGGTTTCAACCCCTTTTTTCTCGAAAACGTGACGTGATGGGAAGTTTTGGACCCCAGATTCGTGTTCAGCACGAAAAATCCGTTCGGAAACACCAGGTCCCGTCTTATTCGCAAAACCCTTGTAGACCAGTGTTATGAATAAAATAATAATAATTCATTCAAAAACGCCCATCCCTGATTTGGTTCTAATAAACCATCGGCTTTAAACTTTGATACGATGAAAGTGATGTAGACGACACCGAAAAATTTACACTTTCATTAAAAAATGTATAGCAGTACCTTAAATAAGTGCGAATAATATAAATTGAGGAAAGACAAGACCCAATCCTTCTTGAATGAAAAATTTACCTCATGGAATGAAAACACTTTATATGGGCCGAGTTTTGAATTGAAATCCACACGTAATTGTTCGACACAGTCATGTTGGTGATTGGTTTTGAGTCGGATGAGATTTGTATTTGATTGACCACCTTATACATTTAAAAGAAAAGAGTTCATTGATTTTGTTAAAAACTGCGTACTAACCAGACTCACCAGGAGAGTATCTGTATCCAAAACCTTTATAATGCCTTGTATGGAGCACCACAGCTTTCCTTGCACATTCAGCAACTTGGTTACAGGACTTGTTACGGTGCCGATTGAAAGACAGTGCGACAAACTAGTGTTCCAGGCAACTGCATAAAATTATAAACAGCAAAAGTTAGGACAAAAGCATGCGCTGCTATTTTGTACATGTAAACGCATAGTGGAGCGGCGAGCAAAGCATCAATACAAACGTGTATGTACGCTTTGCTCTTCACTCTGTGCGCTCCGATTGAAACAAATACGTTTGTAATCGACGCCTTGCCGATGCTCTTTGCTCGCCGCTCCTCAATGCGCTTAGCCTAAGAGAAACAATACACACCTCCATCTCGAAGATATACACAGATATCACCATTGGCCAAAGAAACAAATACACGATTATCCAGGTACCTAGCCAGCGCAAATATTAAATTTAAAACGGTTAAATGTGTACGGTAAATTTTGAAGTGTTCCTACTCACAAAATGGAATACACAGCCGACTGATGTTCAATCTTAATTCTATTCTTCTTGATGCGAATATTATCGGTGCTATTGTACACATGAATGCAGCCGTCTTCCGTGCCAATCCACATAGTTGATAAATTTCCATCGCCATCGTCTGGATTTGAGTCCTGAAAATAAGAATAATAGACATGCAAATATGTATAAATAGTGCCTTTATATTTTTACTATTTTCTTAAGAGTTCGACTAGCGTACTTGGTGCGAGTGATGCGATGGTGTTCCGCTACTACTGCTGCCCGGCAATGTCACCGAAGCGATTGCCTGCACCGAGGGAGCAGGACTGGGTACGCGTTCTACGGTGCTGCTGCCGTTACTGCATATAGCTTCAGCAACAGCACTAACGTTTATAAGACCAGTATCTGTCTCGTCATCACTGGAACTTAGATTCAAATCAAGTTGGTTTTCAGCACTGCCGTGACTACTTGCATTACCCGTTGCGGAGGCGTTGCCGGAGTCAGTTGAGTTCACCGCAACCGCTACAGGTGCTGATGGCGTCTTTTTCTTTTCCGGTGTGCCAATCACAGTTGATGGTTGGAAGTTCGGCGAGATGCTTTTGCGATAGTCCCTCAATTTCTGCGTGTAGCTGTGTTGTGGCGTAGTACTGGCGCTGAGTGGATGCGACTGTTTTGGCTGCTGCGTGCCACTATTTGCGGAGTTCCTATTGTTTGGGTTGTAGGCAGGTACTGAGGCCACGCAAAGAATTCGAGCATTACAAACGCCATTGCAGCTGGTCACGTTTGGCTCCGGGTAGAGAGACATAATGCACACTTGTCCTACGTATCCGTCGCTGTTGCACACCCACACATCGCGCTTCTCGCTGAGCGTGGCCGCAGCGCATGTAAACTGTAGTCCTGCACGAGTTTTCCGTATTGGTATAGACATCAAAAACTCTGGAATGGGGTGTCGCTCGAGTGTGGCAGCTGGTAATGCAAATAAGTTATAAGTGATTTGATTGGAAATGTTGATGCTCCGATGCTTACCCATTTTCTGTTTAGCTTCATTGAAGGTCACCTCCCACTGAGTGCGTTTCTCAGCTTTGCTGAAGACGATCGATAGTTTTTGGCTTCCGTTCCTGAAAATTTATAATCGAAGCTAATTATGTTTTGACCAGCTAGGAGTAGTATGTTTACTTACGGTGAATTGACCAGCAGTTCCAGCAGATTCAGTTGCGTGTCATTTGTCTGACGTTCCGACAGCTGCCGCTGCACATCTCTTAGAAGTTCACGTATGACATCCTCCAAATACTGGTGTGGATATTGCAGCGATGCAGTGATGTCGGCGATTTGTTGTAATTTATTGCAGTCTTCGGCCAAATTTTCAATTTCATTCATTATGCGTTTCACGTTTTCATCTTTAGCTAAAGAAAGGAGAGATAATCCATGATATGACTAAAGAGTTATATGATCGTCTCTCACTCACTCTTCACAATTTCTAAACAGTCGAGGGAGATTTTTGTAAGGAACTTGTATTTATTAGTATCCAAAGTAGAGGCTACAGTACCAGGGCAGGTAGAGCTGTAAAATATGATGTCACATATAAAAACCAAATATGTATGTTTCTAATGCTCAAACAATACTTACGGATTAGGCTTTCGTATCGTACCGCTACGTTTCTTGATACTTGTCAACACCAATAAATCATTGAACAGAAAGAAGCCGCGCTCTTTACGTGCACCCTGCCCGGACGGCATTGAAACCAAATCGAAGAGTAGAAATTGCCGATCGGGTGTTATCAGGTCTGTGATACCTTCGATAACACCTTCAAGCTCCCGCAAAGTAGCTTCGCGTTGCCCATTTTCAAGTATTTCGCGCTCCTTACAATTGATATGAACAAGTATGTCGTGGACAAGCTTTAGCACGTCCTGTAGATGCTTTTGATCGGGATGATGGCGATCAGTGTGCTTTATAAGTCTTTGAAAGAGCATTTCGTAACTAAGGAATAGAAAAGATTCAATATGTAGCTTAGTGGTGACAGGTAATATGATCAACGGAAATAAGGTCAATTGACTTTATTGCTTAGCTTCACGGCGGCCCGCGTCAGCGCACACCAAGTCACGCTACGCTCGTTCAAAATATGCCAATTTAAGACCCACAATTCTTTCAGTGTTCCTCCGGGGTTTTTGGACATGGACTGTTTCTTCAATTTAATAGTGTTCGCTTTATTTTTGTGGAAACGAAACATTTTTTGCAAGTTATGGATCATTTCTACAGTCTTTCTTCAAATACTTCTCGTATTCCAGCTGTGCGCAGGCGTTTAGTTTTTCGCATCGTGTTTTTACATATTCGTAATTTAAATTTTTTTAATAAAATCAATTGGTGGTAGTTCATGATTGTGTGTGGATTAATATCACAACACTGAGGATTAGGCAATAACCTTATTCATCTCTTAAAAAACAACACTTACGCGGCAATGTTTATTGTAAGAACAACATTTTTTTCTATGAATCGACATACTTTAAGCATTGTTGACGCTGTTTCCATTTGAATGAGGAAATAGCGTCAACGACTTTATTTCCAAATTTTTGTTGACTTTATTTCGCTTTTGAAAAGGTACCACCAGAGTTGGAAATAAAGTCAATTGACCTTATTACCTGTCACCAGCTTATTAACTCGCTATTAATATTATTAAATAGATAGTAAAAGGCGCAGAAAGGAGAAAAACAGGTCAACTTACTTAGGGAACTTTTGTACCGGTTTGATGAGTAGGTTGTCTAGCGTCAATTTTCCTTTATGCTCGCGGGCAGTTATTTCCAAGAATTTCGCAAACGATGGTCGTTGGTGTTTCGTAGTGCGGATAGCGTTCTTCGCGCGGTTGCAGTTATTCACAAATGAAGTGTATACTTCCAGCACCTCCAGCTTTGAAAACTGTTGCATTCAAGTTAAAATAAAGTTTGTAAATATACATAGTACAAATTACATTCTTCTACAACAATCATTGTTGCGCGATTGACCTCACCGTTTCAAGAAAAACGTCGCCAACTTTCTGGTTCGCCTCCCAACTTTCCCAACGCGATTTCAGCTCAGCATGAAATTTTTCGTGAATCTCCAGTATATCGGGTACCATAAAAAAAAATCTCGTCCACAGTACGTGAATCGATCATGCCAGCATGCTCGGGAGATTTGAGTACCTTCAGATATTTTGTGACGATTGTTTGCAGTGACTCAACATATGACTGTTCGTTACGTAAGATTTCTTGTACAACGTGGGTGCGTGTATCCTATCGGTTTGAAGGAAGGTAAATATATTTATTGTGGCATTTACAAAAGTAAAAAGAAAATCTTCCCAAAATAATTAAATTTCCAGTTGCACAGCTACCATTAATACACCTCACATATTCTTCTTCTTAACTTACACCATCGTAGCCGCTATAATTCCAACGATTATTTATTTCGAGTTGTGCCCGACGATCGGAGTCGTCCTCTGAATCAGAACAAGTGGTCGACTGCATTTTCTTCAGGCGCTCGCATTTATCGTTTTGATGTGCAACAATCACTTTGTTGATGCGATTAACCGCGGTTGAGATGGCTTGGTTCGCCATAACCGACATTGTCTGAGAAACGCTGGAATTGCTGCTGCCATTTGACGTTGCCGGCGTATTTTGTTGCAAATCAAGAAGACTCAGTCGTAGACTTTCGCGATTGTGTGTCATTTTCACTTAATAGTTTCCTTATTATTATTTACTTAATATGTATATTACTGTATTTTTTAATTAGTTGAGATTAAATATTTGAACTGGGTTAAATTTATTCCGTTTCTATGTTATAATTGTCACTATTCGCTTTAGGTCAGTTATTAACAGCATTTTCCTTTGATGAGCTCTGAAATTTATTTTTCATACGTCCACTTATATCAGAATATATGTATGTACGTTTCTAATTTTCAGAAATGTGGTAAAAACAAACATGCAATTAGCAAAACGATTGGCCGCCTTTGCCTGCTGGGAATTTAAACTATTTCCTTAACATAAGAAGACTTCCTTCTTTAACAATAGTTGATATATATATAAATAGCTTTTGTTCTTAGGGACATGGTATCGAACCGAAAGTATCGATATAACGGGTGATTTTTTAAGAGCTTGATAACTTTTTTTAAAAAAAAAACGCATAAAATTTGCAAAATCTCATCGGTTCTTTATTTGAAACGTTAGATTGGTCCATGACATTTACTTTTTGAAGATAATTTCATTTAAATGTTGACCGCGGCTGCGTCTTAGGTGGTCCATTCGGAAAGTCCAATTTTGGGCAACTTTTTCGAGCATTTCGGCCGGAATAGCCCGAATTTCTTCGGAAATGTTGTCTTCCAAAGCTGGAATAGTTGCTGGCTTATTTCTGTAGACTTTAGACTTGACGTAGCCCCACAAAAAATAGTCTAAAGGCGTCAAATCGCATGATCTTGGTGGCCAACTTACCGGTCCATTTCTTGAGATGAATTGTTCTCCGAAGTTTTCCCTCAAAATGGCCATAGAATCGCGAGCTGTGTGGCATGTAGCGCCATCTTGTTGAAACCACATGTCAACCAAGTTCAGTTCTTCCATTTTTGGCAACAAAAAGTTTGTTAGCATCGAACGATAGCGATCGCCATTCACCGTAACGTTGCGTCCAACAGCATCTTTGAAAAAATACGGTCCAATGATTCCACCAGCGTACAAACCACACCAAACAGTGCATTTTTCGGGATGCATGGGCAGTTCTTGAACGGCTTCTGGTTGCTCTTCACTCCAAATGCGGCAATTTTGCTTATTTACGAAGCCATTCAACCAGAAATGAGCCTCATCGCTGAACAAAATTTGTCGATAAAAAAGCGGATTTTCTGCCAACTTTTCTAGGGCCCATTCACTGAAAATTCGACGTTGTGGCAGATCGTTCGGCTTCAGTTCTTGCACGAGCTGTATTTTATACGGTTTTACACCAAGATCTTTGCGTAAAATCTTCCATGTGGTCGAATAACACAAACCCAATTGCTGCGAACGGCGACGAATCGACATTTCACGGTCTTCAGCAACACTCTCAGAAACAGACGCAATATTCTCTTCTGTACGCACTGTACGCATTCGTGTGGTTGGTTCAATGTCCAATAAAGTAAACTGAGTGCGAAACTTGGTCACAATCGCATTAATTGTTTGCTCACTTGGTCGATTATGTAGACCATAAATCGGACGTAAAGCGCGAAACACATTTCGAACCGAACACTGATTTTGGTAATAAAATTCAATGATTTGCAAGCGTTGCTCGTTAGTAAGTCTATTCATGATGAAATGTCAAAGCATACTGAGCATCTTTCTCTTTGACACCATGTCTGAAATCCCACGTGATCTGTCAAATACTAATGCATGAAAATCCTAACCTCAAAAAAATCACCCGTTAGTACTCATTTAAAGTATCACTGTAAAAAATATCGGGTAGCCATTAATATTGTGATTAAAAGACTCGATATTCCTAATGTCGATACCAAATTCCAAAAAATTAAATCTGAATATTGGTATTATTTTCTAATACAGAATGAACCTTATTAAGTGTTTGCTTTTGTAGAGGACATCACCGAAGGCGCGGGTTGAAATTCCGCCATATGCTAACCTAAGATTGTAAACATTTCTGCTCCTTAATACTCAGAATATATTCATTTTGCTTTACATACAAACTGCGAAACAATAAAAGTCTTATAACTTATTTATTGTCCAATTTGGCTGTTTTTTGTTGGTTATGTAAGCAGAATGTATTTGCGAAAAACGGTCTCGCCAGGTGGCATCAGAGTCGAGATATTTTGAAATGGGACCGCAAGGTGACATAAAACGTATGTTTTATTTGCGTTAAAAATTAGATTAAAACAATATTAACAAAAAAGTTTCAATGGAAATTTTAGTAACGCCAGATACTTCGGCTGATAAAACAAATAACAAAAAAAATTTCGACAAACTGAAAATTCCTCATTTTTTTTGAAGTCGGTTAAAAAGTAGGAAAGATTTTTACATTTAGGAACTTGGAAAATTAGCCTCAAATATTTCAAATATTACTATAAAAAATTTTATACAATTAGTCTTGCCCAATTCGCAGAGTTTTTCAATTTTGTAACCACTTTGAAACGTTACAAATGCGCTTTGCTTTTATCTCTACTAAATATCTGTAATTTTTTTTACTGAATAAAGGTATACTTAATTATTATACAAATATAGAAAAGCTTTTAAAATTTTGACTTTTTCAGGTGTGCTTTGTTTTAAGCACATCAAAACGAATTTAGTAAGAGACAATTATTTTTAATACAGTGTACATATATATTATTAATCACGTTAACTCTGTAATGTGTATTTAAGATTCGATACGATACAAGGGGTCTGGTACTCGATTCCAAAAATATGGTTTTAAAATTATCGAGTAAAAAATATCAAATGGCTAAAGAATATCGTATCGTTTCGAAATTCGTGTCCCTATTTGTTCTAACTAAAAGCAAAATGCAACCGAAGGCCGATTTTTCCCCTAAGCCGAACCGAACATTCGGCTATGATTTAACAACGGGCCGATTACCGAAGCCAGAGATTTAATTTAAAGTACAGATATTTCTCAGCAACTGTTTTAAATAATTCAAAGGAGATAATATTCTAATGTGTAAAAATATCAATGTCTCTAGTCCCAACATACGTCAATGTTTGTTCGGTCCCTGATGCACTTATCGGAAAAGGGATCCCTATATGTTAATCTAGACAAAAAGCTACCGGCGTGAAAAATCTAAAGCGAATCGGACGACAAATGCGATTTTACGAATAGATCGGTCCCTGGTCCACTTCCCAGAAAAAATTATAATCTATGCTAGTCTAGGAAAAAAGCTATTTACGTACAACATTTCAAGGAAATCGGATCATAACGAAGATTTTTTTTTCGAATAGATCGGTTCCTTGTCCATTTACCGGAAAAAGGACCCTATATGCTAATCTAGGAAAAAAACCTACGTTCCAAATTTAAAATAAATCGGACCATAAATAAATTTTTTTCGAATAGATCGGTCCCTGGTCCAAATAGGGACTTGCCATTCGCGAGATTACTTGTTACAAAAAAGGAACGTCTCTTTATATAACACAGGCCATCAAAAATAGAAAAAAATTTGTTGCGGCAAATACTAAAGCTTTTTTTGATAGACGAGCGAGGCGATATAACCTTCCATTTAGGCTTAAATTAAGGCTTGAACTTTCAACTACAACCTCTGAAAATACCATTCCAGCACCTTGAACCTAAGGTAAAAGCCATTTATTGAACACCAAAAGTTGATTTTTGGCTCAATTTACACCAAGTTATACACCAGTGTGCTACTTGAGTATAGAAGATATAGATAGATTGTAAACACCTACATACATATTTAACAAGAGCAAGAGGAACAGCTGCAGGAAGAGCTGGATATGAAGTTTCATGTTGTTTTGTTTAATGCACTGTTGTTTTCATTCCCGGCTTTCAAGGCTGTGCATATTTTTAGCTGAAACTACACTGAGGGAAATAATGCATAGTAAAAATGAATTCTTTATATTTGATTACACAGTGCTACAAAAAAAACAAAATTGAATACACTTTTGAAGCGACCTAGAAGAGATTGTTCACCTGGTCGAGTTATCCACGAAACACCCTTCAAAGGATTTGTAACACCCCCAAAATCTGGATTTAAGGCCAAAAAACTGTTTTTTCAGAGTTTTCGTTGAAAAAAAAATCATTAAAAATCTTATTTTCAACCGTTTTTTAAATTCTAGACGGTTTTGGGCAGAGAATTGTTGACACTTTCGAATTATACAGTATTTTGTTCATTTGAGAGGGGTATGAGATGTTTTTCACGCGAGAAATTGAATTTTTTGAAAATTTTTTCGGTTTTTCCGGTTTCGACGTAATTTTTTTGCCACTAATTGACAATGAATGAACTTCTTTGGGCATGTGTCATCGAGAGGCATTCACTACTTAATTACACAAGTGTTTTTTTTTTGGGAAAGGACTTCAAGTTTTCAAGATATGCAGCATAATCCAAAATCAAATTTTTTGGTCTCAAGCGCCCTACAGGGATACTATGTATTAGAAGGCGGGTCGATTTGAAAATCACCCAAGTGACAAGGAAAATCGTATTTTAGGGATCAAAATAAGATACTTTGCCGAAGGAAGCATACCTCTAAAACCAATTCTGATGTCCCGACTTCGTACTTTTGACCTTGAGCGCCAAAGCTTGAAAAATCCTAAGTTGACCCTAGTGCCCCAATCGTATTTAAATGTATGACCGACCCCCACTAACTTTGTAGGGCCGACCCACCCATGCCAGTGGAACCCCCCCCCTAAGACCCCACCTGTCGGGTTCCCCATACAAAAATTTTACAAAAACCCCCATTTTTAGCATTTTACATGAAAAAATCATTGCACG